TGACGGCCGGCGCAGGCAGCCTGAAGTGGAGTTCTTTGAGTTTGTCTGTCTCGTCACTAGCAAGTGATTCTAGCGAGCGCGAGGAGTAAGCGACAATGGAAAAACGGGTTCCTGTAAAAGGCAAAACGCAGTGTAAGTTCCGGGGGTTAAAGACGAGAGCTTTGTTGTGTGTCGACACAGCACGACCTTTAAGGCGCTTGCCGTTGGGGCCAACTCTGACAATGGCACTATCAGATGAAACACTAGGGTTCTCCAACCACAACTCTCCACCTTTAAAATCCCCAACACTGATTGCGAAGCTCATGCTGTCCTTAGCATTCCCATGGTCCTTGTGCACAGAGGCACCAGTGCTGCTGCTGAGCAACACGGAATTCCAGGTGAAGTCTTGCGGAGCATGTGCTCGCACTACGCCGTTTAGGAACCTGGCAATCTGAGGCCACCGGCGGGTCGCCTTGGTCACCCCTTGCATGCCCCCGTAAGTCCATTGCCCAAAGATATGGTAGTAGCTGCGATTGTCAAGCTTAATCATCTTTCGCTTGGTTTTGTTTGGGTACATGATCTGAGCTACACGCAACAAAGCCTTAGTGCTGAAGTCACGGTCCTTGGTGAGCCCAGCTGCGATTGCGCAAGGATCGTCCAACGGCTTCACCACAGGGTGAGCATGAACGACTGGCTTGTTGATGAGATGAGCATCGGACTCGTGTGCCTTAGACTGGCGCCCCCCCTGAAGCGGGGCATCAACGTGCGCGATGAGCCTGAGTGCATGTTCCCATTTACCTCGGTCAGCGAAAGGTTTAGTAAAGATATCAGCTACTTGCTCTTTGGTGTCAACATTAATCATGTCGAAGAAGTTACGCTCAAACTGTTGTTTGATCCATGCAAACGATATACGCTGAGTCCGGTCGGTGTGACGTAGTTTTTCGCTGTCACCTTTGAGGAGAATAGTGATGGTAGCTTGGTTGTCCTCAAGGAGTTGAACAGCAAACTTGGGACTAAGATGAACCCTGAGGCCGTTTAAATCAGAAACGCTTCGTCCATCCGCCCTGCACTCACCATACCGGATCTCATCAAGTTCAGGATCAATTCGTGCGATGATGTCGTCTTCCCTTTGATTAGGTTTGGTTTTCGGCCTAGCTTGGTAGCTGGCGGTCCTACTCGCAACCTCACGCCACAGGAAAATCCAAAGACTGAGGCTGGGCAGACCTTGGGCACGAATACCTTGGTTGGCAGCCACAACCTCACTCTCCGTGCTTGAAGTGGTGATGCTGGTCTGTTTCTTGGAAAAAGCATTTAGGGGAAAGTAAGTGTTGGGGCCTACCAAGTAAAGGGCACAGCCTGAAGTGGATTTACTGTCGTGGCTACCAGCATGGTCAGCATCGCAGAACATCCACAACTTACAATCCTGAATGCGATCCCCAATGAATCCCCTCATCCGAACTTCAAGAGAAGAGTTTATGTAACTGATCAACCTGTGCAAAGCAACGTCACAGTCGCGAGACCACTTGGTGACTCTGGATGCAAGTGCCTGAGTGGCGCGTAACAAGTCCCACCTGGCCATTCTCGCAGCGAACAAAACCTTCATGAGTACACGGCTAGCAATGGGTTGCAGCTTACCACTAGGTTCGTTGCTCTCCAAAACCTTTGCTACTCGATTCTCATGGAAAGGGGTCGCAACGTGTTTCAGGGATTTCTTGTCAACCTTGGCCAACTCACAGTACCTATCAACACAGGACACCAAGAAATCTCGCATGTCGTAGTACACAACGTTCACGGGCACAGTCATGGAAGGGGTTTTCCCTGGCTGATAGATTCAGTGCTCTTGAACTTACTCTGTCGTGCTTCTCGTTTAGCTTCGGCTTTGGACCGCTTGGGCTTATAGCGCTTAGCTGCGAGAGCGTGAGAAAAGTCCTCGTCACTGACCTCAGCGATAGGGAAATATGTTTTCCCAGTCCACCAACCTGATTGGTCCGCGGGGCCCCCCCGATTCAAGTCATCATGGATAGGGTCCCTGCCATCATCAAACACCGTGATTCGTTGACAGCTTATGTGGGGAAACTTCGACACGTCGTCCTGCGTAGGTACATAAAGTTTCCTACGAGGATAGATGTGATGCCTAACGACTGCAGCTAACTCAGCGTCGACCTCCCAAAAGTCCTCTTTGCGATTCGGCCGGACTTGGTAGTCGGCAGCTGGGCTAGCGTGCTTCTTGTCGAAGACGTAGGCGAATGGGTGGTCCTCCCGTGAAAGCTGGACCTGATTTTGCTCGACGTGATGACACCCGAAGTACCGTCCCAAGACCTCGGCTGGTTCCATGTCAATCACCTTAGCGATCAACTCCCAACCCTTGTTGATTTTGTCTTGGGGGCCGGCCATCTTGAAGTCATCAACGTATACAACAAGCAACAAATCTAGTTCAGCATGGTAGAAAACAGAATGCCAAATGTCGGGTAGAACTGCAGTAAAACCAACACTCTCTAACTGCTCGGTACAGTACCTTTCCCAAATACCGCCTGAGTCAGGGTGGCCGTACAAAGCGAGCCTGAGTGGGCAAACAGGATCTTCATACCCAGACCATTCTTTTGGCCATCTGTTTCGAGGAAGACGGACCCACGTTTCGATGCCTTTAAAAAGGGCTTGTGTATATGCAGCAATGCCATCAGCCTGCTGTTTCACGTACCCGGGTTGGCTACCAAACACATCGATGATTTTCCCGGCCTCCATACTAGCGGGGCTTGAACCTAGTTCGGCGAAAATGGCGCGATCGTGGTTTTCGTCCTGGACGTTGTTGCCCTGGAAAACACTACGACCCTTCCATTTCTTCTGGGGGTGCCCGTCCGGGAGTTCATCCCCCTTGACCGAACACAGTTCAAAGATTTTCCCGAAATGTGCCTTGACATTCTTGTGTTTGGCTTCCGCCGCAACATCCCGGTACTCTCGAACCTTCTTTTCGAGCCAGCAAGACTTGTCGGCAAGTTTCTTCCATTCTCGGTCCATGGCTTCTTTAGCAGCGGGAGTACTTTCGATCTCTTTAGGCCCGACAACCCTGGCAACCACAGCAAACATCTCACTCGCAACCTGACCAAGCTTGGCCCAGTACAAAGACGCCATGCGATCTCTATGGGGCTCAGGATCAGGTTCGGTGACGACAGGCATGGCCGGGGAATCTCTGAGGGCCTTGCGAGCATCCTCCTCGGCTTCACGAGCCTTCTTACGTTCGAATCTTTCAATGTCAGCCTCCCGTTGTGCCTTGGAATACATGTGCCAAAATTCCGAAGGGGTATCAGGTGGCCTTTTGGAACCTTTCTTATCCCTAACCAATCTCACCCCGTCCCAGTTGTACCCTTTTGGGACTTTCCTCCCATCAGGCATGGTCTTGGGGTCATGTCTTGGTAGGGTAGATGAGGCCTCGGGCCCGGTCGTTGCTTCTTTAGAAGATCCAGGAGCATCCCCCCCCAGCCAGTCCTCCACAGCTCCGACATCTTCAGGAACATAGTCCTCGTTTTCCTTAGCCACTTGGTCCAAGTACTCGGACAAACGATCCTTCAAATCGGAGCCGTCCAAATCAGGCACACCGGGCGGAGGCAAAGGCTCGTCCGGCGAATCCCCAGGCGGGGCGCGTGGTCCGGCACCATCTGTGCCTCCCCACGAGCAGTCCTGATCTGAGAGGGCCGGCTTGCGGAGGCTCTCCTGCAGTGCAAGCTGCTCCGACCTCATTGGGAACGTAAATTCCCCAGGCAACAACTCCATCCGCTTGGACCTCAGAATGGGGAAGTTTCCAATCTCGAACGCGAAGTCGCAGCCCTTGACAGGAGTGACAAGATATTCCTCCTTCCAAATGAAGCCAGGCTGAATGTGATAACCAAGAAAGATTCCCTCAACACCAGTCGGCGCAAACTTAGAGTACGCAGGAATGTTCTGTTTGGGGTTGTTCCAGTATAACACACGTGCACCAAAAGGAATCATTAACCCTAAAAAGGGTTCCCCATACCTGGCCTCCCAGGGAACAATTCCATTGTCAAACCTCTTAGTGGCGTTGAGGGCCATTGCGTGGTGTTGGGCGGCCAACAGCCAAAGCTTGTCGGGGAGACCCGCCTGAACAAGGTTGGAGCGGGTACCCTCCAGAATCGTCCGAATTTCTCTTTCGATTACCGACTTGTTGGTGTCCACATATTCGCGGGATGTAACATGTCGAACACCCAGGCTTTTGATAGCTGCATGAAGTTCAGGTGCGTTGTCGGAGTAGAAAACCCCAACTGTGTCTTCTTGACCTAGGAAATGAAGAAGGTCTTCATAACACTGATCGCTTGACTTAGTCGGAGAGGGGTAGACGTAACGAAATTTGGTGAACACGTCCTTAACAACAAGTGCGACCCTTTCGTCCTGGAACCCATGATCACGAAGGTCACGAGTGATGATATGGTCAACAGTGATGTGATCCCCAAAGGCCTTTGACACAATGGTACTTGAGCCCCCCTTTTTGCGGGCTTGGGGAGCCAACATCTTTGCGCGCTGACATACCTCGCAGAACGGATTCTTGGGCCTGTGCGAGAACAAGTGCTCAACAGATTTGGCTTCAGCTTTCAGATCGGCCTCTGCAAGACTGCGGGCGATTCCTTCGTTGTCACTGTCAGGTTCAACATCGGGGTCTTCGAAGATAGTGAGGCTCAGGATTGGATTACCCTCCAGTCGGGCAACTTTGTTGTCAAGCTCCCTGACGTTCACTTTATCCTCAACCTTGACCCAAGAACCTTCCCTGAACAACCAAGTAGATCTGACTTCGCATTTTGGAAACCTTGGTGTGGCAGTACGAAACGTCTTTGGTTTGTGTCCGACAATCAAGTACTTAGCATTTGGGTGCGAAACCCAACCTGGTCTTTTGAGCTTTTCTTTGGGAATGTCTATTGGCGGCACCTCATTTATGGCTGCTGAGATCTCAGGATCGGGGTGCTCGACCACTGGATCTCGGTCCTCTGCTGCTCCTGCGAAAGCCTCGGCCGGCCCTATTGGGCGGCAGATTTCTGAAAACCCTCGGACAGAATTGGCCGTCCGAGAGATCCTGAGGCTTCTTCGTTGGTACTTGGGGCGGCCATTGCTCCTCCCCCAAGGACAGGCACCATACCTCTCATTCTACACCTTAGTCTTTGACCATTGGGCGCAACGAAGTAAGGCGGCTTTTTGGGGTACCAATGGAACTCATAACCGTCCTCCATGCACCTTCTTCCAACAGAGCAAACAGGAGGAGTACTTGCGAGAACGTAGAACTCTAGCTCTTTGCCAAACTCCGGGAAGTCGATCCTGACCGATTTGTCACCCTTGACATTTCCGTTAGCAGTGATGAGGTTTACTTGTCGAGTAGCATTGCCTATCGGCTCTTCGCCAAAGTACATAGCACGATCAGCTTCGCTGATGAGGTCCTCCTCGCTCCCCGTATCAGCAAGGAATTCTAAGGGCGTGGCGATTCCTGGACAGGCGATCTCTGAGCTCTCAACGACGTGCTTGCACATCCCACACATGAGAGAATCAGGCTCATCACATTCTAAACGGCAGTCGGTTCTCTCTCCCCCCTCATGCCGGGCAAGGAGCATAGTGAGTTCCCTTGCGTTCCTAATTGCAACCTGAAGGTCATTGTTGTCAGGTTTGGGGCAATTTTCCGCATCGGCATAGCAAGTGTTGTACCTGCGAACTTTGTAGGAATGCTTGTACCCCTTCCCTTCAAAAGGAATTTCCCTGACTTTGGGCTTTTCACAAAACTTGACCTTCTTGTTTTGTTCTTTGATTTTGAACACAGTCTTGCCAGTCCATGGCGTCTTGTCGTTCGTCCCCCCTTTTCCCCCTTTCCAATCCCAACTCTCCTTTGCTGTGTAGGGAGCAACGGGAAGAGTCTTGATCACCTTGGCCGTACCTTTCAACTTTTCAAGAGCAACAGGGCATGACATTTCAGGCTTGTACATAGTACTTCTGTAGTTCAGGTGATGTCGAATGGCTTCACCCCTTTTGAAATCCACTTCCCAGTAGTCCTTCTCTCCATCTTGTGGGTCATCTCCCTCGGGACGGATTGAGGCTGCAGCCGCAATCGAGATGCAGCATGCGGCTCTCCTGTCCTTCTCCTTAGAGCGACCACGGCTTGGCTTTCTGCGCGTTTGCGCAGGCGATGGAGACCTAGGTTTGTCTGGGTCCTTAGGAGCCGGGGCTGCGTTTTCACCACCTGTGGGAGCGGGGCTCGGTTCCCTATGCAAGAAACGGCACTTGTCTCCCCTGGTACATTTGCCTTTCTTCCAAAACGTGCATACCTGCTTCTTCTTCTGGGCGGTGCGAACAGGGGACTGCGAGCGTGGTTTGTGCGAGAACTTGCACTTGTCGCCCCTGGTACACTTACCCTTTTGAAAGTCGTAGCAAACTGGCTTTGGGCTTGGTGAACGGCTAGGTGATCTAGACCTGGACGGGGTCCTAGAGCGAGATCTTGACTTCGAGTTGGATTGGCTACCGGCAGAGCGATCTCTTCCCCGGCCACTCCTTGACGGAGGGCGTTGCGGCCTTCCGCCTTCAAGAACAGGAGCTCCAAATTTGTCCCCATGTGACTTAGCGATTCTATCCTATTCTTGCGCATCCTTTCACGGGTTAGCAAATCCCGAATGGACTTCAACAAGAACGCGTAGGAATGTGAGGCAGAACCTTCCTTGGCCCTATCATAGATCTCCAAGTCGTATTTCATCCTTGAGGACTTGCGGATTTGGCGGAGAAGGATGTCACGCAGAACCATTTCTTCTGGAACATGACTCATACCGGCAATGACTGACTCCCAATTGTGCAGGAATGTAGTCAAGTCGTCACTATGCAGTGTAACCTTCAAAAGGTCTTCTACTGAATAGAGCGACCCTACTTCTTCATTGGTTTTGAAGTACTGATCAAACATAAGCAACACCTGGCGTCCTCGTACCGCACGTCCATGGACCGCCTCGGTTTCTTTGAAGGTGAGCACCTGTCGAGATAACTCTCCCTTGGCGACCTTGGTAAGCGCGGCTAGGATTTTGGTATCCAGCGTGAGGAACTTTCCTGGTTCACGGAGCTTGTCATGATCAGCATCCTTCGCGTAAACCTCTAAAATCCAAGAGAAAGCTTCGTCTGGTCTGTCTGAGGCTGCCCTAACCGCTTCCCGAGTTGCTGTTTTCCACGCACGATACGTTTCGGGGTTGGGGAAGTCCGGCAAACGGATGTTCTCAGCCTCTTTGACCTTTGGCTTGTCATCTTCGCCGCCTTTGTCTCCCTTGAGGAGTTTGGCGGCTTCCAGCAACGCTTGTTGCGTCTGTGCGATTAAATCAACTCCAGTGGCTGCCGGACTAGCCGGCGTGCCCATTGGGGCCGCGAGACCAGACACTCCTCCACCTAAGCCAGTCGGGGGCACAGGGGTTCCCGGGGCTTGTGTTGGAGCTTGTGGCCCCGCTGGTGTGGCAGTAGTTACCGCACCACCAAAACCGGAAAACATTGCTCTTAGGCTGAGCGGGATCACGCTTGGCGATGAAAACTGAGGAGCTGTCGGCACATTAAGGCCGGCACTTTGCGGTACCGTTGCTGGGGTCACGGCCGGAGGGAACTGAGCTTGGGACGCAGTGTCCTGAGAAGCATTCCTGTCCTGCTCGAGTTTGAGCGCACGCTCAGCTGAGGAGAGTTCGTCCTGAAGAACATCATTTTGACGCCTCATTTCCTCTTCACTCTCGCGGGCAAGTAACCTATACTGCTGCATTGCCTGATCATGTTCCCTACCAAACCACTCTCCCACCTCATTGAGGGTTTGTGTTTTGTTCTCCTCTGCTTCTTCGATTAAAGTTGTTCGAAGTTGCGTGATCTGCGAACTAACGCTGGAAAAATGTTCCGTTTGGAAAGCGATGACTTGGTGTTGTTGTCGCAGCTCCGACACGAGATGGTGATTGGCTTCGATAAACTGATATCGTTGTGTGGCAATCTCGGATTCGAGCTGTGCAACGATCTCCTCATGCTGTCGATTTGCTCGTTCTTCAACATTGGCGATTCTTTGATCATGAGCATATTCGGCAGCCTGGCGGAACCTCTGGTGCCTGTTTTCTGCTTCAGTTTCAAGTTCACCGAGAAGCGATCTGGTTTGTTCCGGAGATTCACCGATCATGATGTTTTGCTGGAAATTCTGTCGATACATATGCAACTGTGGTGCGAACGGTACAGCTGCAAAAGGAGTTCGGGCGTTTGGATCAAACACATTAGTGCCTGCTGCGCCCTCTTCCAGTGCACCGTTCGAAGCAACTTGCTCGGAAGCAGTCTGGGGTAGTCCCACAGGAAGCATGTCGTCAGATTCCAGGTCGGTTGCCACTTCGGTGGGAACCAGCTCGGGGCTGTCTCCCATACACCAGTGTTTGCCAGAGTAACCAGAGGCGCCGCAGACTCAGTAGAGCCTACGGCTGATAACCTATAGTTTGGGAAATCCACCAATGCAATCCGTTAAGCCATGAAACACAGGCGCACTTCTACCTTTTTGTCTCAGAGGGCTTGAGTGCGATAGGTGCAACATACATGAAGGCAAAAGTGGCAAGGAGGTCCGAATATAAAATACAACCCTAAGGGTTTGGGGCTTAAGGATTGGGATTGAAGGTGTAGGCGTCCGCGGCTTACAAGCCACGAGGAGTCTAGACCGCCCCACAGCCAAAACCACATATTGAGGCCCTGAGCCTAGACGTGTTTAGGGTTTAGGGTTTAGGGCCAAGTTTAGGGTTTAGGGTTTAGGGTTCAGGGTTTGGGGAGAGAAACCTTGGAAGAAAAAGGGGCACCCTTGTTGGTTTGAAGGGGCGCAAGGGAACCTAAACCCCAAAGAAAGAGGCGTGCTCTGGGTCCGAGGAAGGGTAGGCACATGGTCCCCCAGAATGGACCCTGAAATGAAGACCCTTATATACCCATAAAAAAGCCCCCTTATAGAACTTAAACAAACCCAAGGACCCATACATCAGAAGCCTTTCAAGAAGGTGATATGGTCCGTGAACCTACCCTTGGACCAACTGAATCTCACTTTCTGCTTGTGGGCATGTCGGTTTGTTAAGAATCCCAAAGCCCTATGAGCCTGAGGCCAAGACCCCGAAGTTTTGGGTTTTCGTTTTGGCTGTTTAGAGGGGTTGGGGGCCAAAACTAACCCCAACTCTGAGGTCCCTGTTCAGGTACATGGATATTAGGGTAAATCAGAAGCCAGCTTCATGTCTTTGGAAATCTTCAGAAAGAGCGGGACGGTGACATTGCGCAGCATGCGCTGTATCCATGCCGTCATGTGGTTGTCGGGATACACCTCACCGAGGCTTCGCCCAAAGACCCTAAGCCCTGAGCCCCGAAATAAACCCGACAAGCCCCTAAAACCCCACACCCTCAAGTCCTAAACGCCATGTAAAATCGATGAACAACGAAAACGACCATCATGCATTCAAGACGGCCAAGAACAAGAGCCCCCGAGATCTTCCCATGCCCGTCTCAAGGAAAGGTTTAGGGTTTAGGGTTTAGGGTTTAGGGTTTAGGGTTTAGGGTTTAGGGTTTAGGGTTTAGGGTTTAGGGTTTAGGGTTTAGGGTTTAGGGTTTAGGGTTTAGGGTTTACGGTTTGGGTTATGGTTTTAGGGACTCGAAAAGACGGTACATCCTGGCTGTTCCCTTCACAACTCAACAGATTACCTCCTTGACACAGAGGTTGGGTGACAGCGAGAGAGTGGAAAAAACCACGTATGCTTAGTTCTTTGATTGGGGCTTTTTCATACGCTCTCACGAACACACCCAAAAGACAATATCAAGTTGAAAAGATAAGGAACGCATGATCTTCAACTATAAATTTGGGCTTTTGTTCACTTCACTTCATCAATGTGTTCACTTGTATCATCCGATCACGCGCTCACGCACTCACTTCGCTCGCTCCTTTGTTCATAGAAGTGAGTGAACATGTGAACGCAGTGTGAGAGTGACAGGAACGAAGTGAATTACGATGAAACGAAGCACGGAACCATGACTTCCTAGATAATAATCCGCAAACCCTTTGCACGGGAACCTTAACCCAGTGCACGGGGCAGCAGAGCCAAGCATGTTGAAGTATCAAACTGAAAAACCTGGCACCCAGGTATCGAAAAGTTGGATGGAGGCTTTGTCATTCAAGATGTGGGATCTAAGGCTCAGGATGTTGGGTCTAAATCCCAAACCCAAAACCCTCCACACCCCCAAGCCCTCAAACCCCCAAAACCCGAATCCCGAAAACCCTAAAACCCCAAACCCGAAAACATCTAAACCCTAAACCCTGTGCGCCCCAAAAAATTCGGGCCTAAACCCTAAACCCGAATTAAACCCCAAACCGCAAACCCCAAACCCCAAACCCCAAACCCTAAACCCTAAACCCAGGCCTGCGGCCAGGCCCTTCGCGAGATTACATTCCCGCAGATATCGGGGTCCAGGATCATGCACAGGTCCATCCTAACTTGGGTTTAAGGTTTAGGGTTTAGGGTTTAGGGTTTGCAGGGCTTAGGGTTTTGGGGTTTAGGGTTTGGTTTGCACGCGTAGCGTTTATGTTGGGCTTATTTTGGGTTTATTCAAGGTTTGTTTTGCAGGCTGTATTTAAAGGTTTATACCGGGTTTATACCCTAAACCCTAAACCCTAAACCCAAAACCCAAAACCCTAAACCATCAACCCTAAACCCTAAACCGGGGTTTCTGCAAGGTTCGTTTAAGGGTTTGTAGGGTTCATCGGGTCTAGGGCTCCACCCTCCACCCTCTAAGCCAATGCTCCCAAGACCTGACAGCCCTACCGTCACTGCAGAGAGTTGCGGTTTATGGTTTTGGGTTTGGGGTTTAGGGTTTGGGGTTTGGGGTTTAGGGTATAGGGTTTAGGGTTTAGGGTGGCTATTTGCTTTGTTCCGCTAGACCCAAGACCCAATTTACGACAAGGACCTCCGCTCAAACTATCCACCACATCAATGGATGTGACACTCATTTGGGTGATAGGTATCAATAAAGAATAACAATCATACAATAATACAAATAATACTAATAGAAAATGATACCAATAAAGAATAACTATAATACTAATAATAAGCATATATTAGTAAAATCTTGCTCGTTTTTTGTTTTCAGACTAGGGCTTGGTTTAGGGTTTAGGGCTGAGGGCGTCTCGCCATGCAGCGGCAGTAAGTACCCATGTGAAAATGAGACACACCACGTTTTTCAAGTTTTTTTGGGGCGGGGGCGGGGGGTGGGCGGGATGTCACGCGAAGGCACATGTTTCCGATGCAGGCTTCAGTGCTAGGTTTATAATTCCCCCCCCCCCCCCCCCCCCCCCCGTGGGCTTTTACATGCCACCACCCGAGCCATTTATCGGGCTGCCGCCCTTTATTCCCACCGTTAAGACAGCATTCCTTTTCTTTTCTCTATCTCTTGGTTTTCCCTAAACCCTAAACCCTATACCCTAAACCCTAAACCTGAACCCTGAACCCTTGTTCTTATCTTCTTTTCTTGTGCTCATTTCTTCGCTTCGCTCAGAGCTGGGCTGCCCTGTGGCCCCCATGTCAGTCTTTGAAACCTTGCTCGCGCACTCTGCGGTTCTTGGTTCAGGGTGTAAGTTTTAGGGTTTCGGATTTAGGGTTTAGGGTTGAGGGTTCAAGGTTTAGGGTTTACGGCCCTAAGCCAAACACCATAAACCCTGTACAGCACCCTAAGCTCTGAACCTTGCACTCCCCGGGTCTAGATCCTCAAAAGTTAGGCGTGTGCTCCTTGAAAAAATTGCCGACCCACTGAGGACAGAGGGTGTTGACTGTAAACGCCTTGCGTTTTGACTAATTACCCTGAACCCTCTAAGTGGGTGCCGGCTGATCATGAAGAACGAATGGGCTCTGATGTGGCACCCTAAAGACCCAATTTCTTGATTTTCTTCCTCTAACCTCTTTGGGTATACAGAATCCTGCTATATATATATATATATAAGTTTAACCTTTTTTGACTCGGGTGTTCAGCCCCTCAGTTTAAGAGTTTGAGGACTTAGATTGGGCTCAAAAGCCCCAGAAGGGCCCCTGGGCTCTGCAAAAACGCACCCAAAGCTACCCAGGGCAGCTCATCCCTTTATTAATCTAAGGCTCTAGGGCCCTCAATACCCCAGGAATTGAGGCCCCAGAACCTTGTTTAGGAGGTACCAGTCCCTCTGTAGGAGGGTCCTTTGAGCCTTAAGGTAGTAAGGGGTTCCTCGGGTTCCCTTGTGAAGAAACTCTTCTCCCATAGAAGGACTTTTTCGAACAACCCTACCCTCCCCACCCCCAATATAGGCCTCATGAGCCTTGAAAGGTTTCGGGGTTCTGGTCTTCTTGGGTTTAGGGTTTAGGGTTTAGGGTTCAGGGCGAGGGTTTAGGGGTTAGGACTCATGGGCTTCGGCTCTGCGAAGAAGGGGGCTTTGTCACAAGGAGGTGACAAGAATCGGAAGCCCACTTGAGACGTAGCATTATAGGGTTTAGGGTTTAGGGTTGAGGGTTGAGGGTTCAGGGTTTAGGGTTTAGGGTTTATGTTCCCCTGTTTAGTGTAGGGCCGCCCCCCCCCCCCCCCCCCCCCCCCCCCCTGAATAGTCGAGGCTGGACGGCCCCGGGGGTTTATATGATTTAAATAGGGAGGAGTGTAGCTAAGTTTAGAAGGGGCAGCGATGCCCGGCAATATTTTTTAGTGGCGCGCCACGTGGAATTTTGTTTCGGCGCCCGGACGATTTGGCTTTAAACAGGGACTCCCAAACAGTCAGGATGTCCTGAATAACACAGCCAAATTGACTTTATAGAGGAGGCCCCAGCTTAACAGGGTCCAACATTTAGGGTTGAAATACTATAGTCATAATAATCATGATAATCATGATAATCATGATACTCATGATACTCATGATAATCATGATAATCATGATAATCATGATAATCATGATAATCATGATAATCATGATAATCATGATAATCATGATAATCACGATAATCATGATAATCATGATAATCGTGATAATCATGAAAATCATGATAATCATAATCATAATCATAATCATAATCATAATCATAATCATAATAAGCAACCCTCCGCCCTGAACCGTAAACCCGAAATACCTAACCCCGAAGATTCAACCCTGAGCGTAGCCTCTTAAAGCAGACGGGGTGGGGCTTTCGAGGGTTTGGCAAGCTTAGTCCATGTCGTGTGGGGCTTTCCGGGTTTAGGGTTTAGGGTGTGAAGACCTGGACGCGGGCGGGGCGGGGGGGAGGGGGGGGGGAGTGGATTGGGGGCGGGGTGCGTGTGAGGGGTGGGGCGGGGAGCTAGCCAAGGCCTAGCCCGTTTTTTTTCCTCGTCCCACCCAACAACCCAAAATCAACTAAATCATCA